GGAAGGGGTCGGGGGTTTATGTTTAAATGGTTACAAAATTACAAAGCATCATCCAGTTAAAGTTGACGATCAGAGGACATTTAATTGATCGGAATACTCAATGATAAGCAAGTGTTCTCCTCATTTGTCCACTCCCCCCAAATTTTTCCTTGACAAGAAAAATGTACGAAAAAAAGTGCCTTTCGTCTTGTCACGAGCGTCCGACGAATTAAGAATCCCAATTACAACACGCACCCCACATATTCAAATTTCGCGTGGGAAGCTTGTCACATGAAAACCCGCCATACATCAAGTACTTAAACATATGAACCGACTACACGGACTGAATAATCAATCAGCTTTCTACAGCTCAAAATAATTTGGTTTTATCAACTGAGTTGATAATGTAAATTTGCCACCGTACAGAGTTTCTTTTGAAACTTACCCCCTTTTATTTATAGCTCATTAGTGTTAGCAACTGACTGCAGAATCGGAACTAGCTTGAGTTTGACAAATGTTTGAATTTAAATCAACTTCAGTAGCAGCACCTCCAATCGGTCATACTGGTTCTTGCTTGTGTACCGATTTACTTAAAAAAAAGATGACTGAAGCAAACTTTATTTACCAATTTCATCCGCAGTCATGTCTCTGAGTCGATCAACAGTGGCCTTTCTCTCCTCCAGTTTGACCAGTGTTTCTTGTTTTAAAATAGTGAACTGACGCAAAGGATTTTCAAATACCCACTGTCTCTTGTCAAGCATTTTACAAAGACCTAACAGTCTGTAAGCCATGGTAGGCCATCCTCGGTTAAGGGCAATTTCAAACAGACCCCGCATAAGACGCGCGGCATTCTGAAAATATTAAAAAAAAAAAAAAAAATGGATTACACACCACAGAGAATTAGGCTTATTCAAGAACCTCTTTTCACATCAAATCCCGCCGCAGAAAAGAGCCTAAAGGTACTTTATCAAATATTGCATTTTCATGTTCGTACTTCACTCTTAAGCGTCAAATTGTTATGGATTTTCAAAAACAAAACGTCAAGAGAAAGATGAAGGCCATACTGACCATGAAAGTACAAGATCGATTCACTAAGAAGCAAATACTTAATACATTTACATCGTTTTAAACTCGAATTTTGTTTTGTTTGCTTGTTTGTTTGTTTTTTTTGTTGTTGTTGTTGTGTAGCACCGCGCACGCCCTTCACTGCAGACGTCAAAAACGCAAAAAAAAAAACCGGAAAAGGAAAATCGAGGCTTAAGGTTTCACGTTGAAGTTTCGCATTCCTTGGTTACGCTTTCAGTTGCAAATCTCGTTTTCCGTTCTGTTCTCTGTGTTCCACGACATTGTGTTGTACGTTGAGTATTCTTTGGTTACTTAGATTTCATTTATTACGCTCAAAGAGCCTTATAAGGAGCCAATAAAGGGATAAGCATGTCCTTAATACCTGTGCAACGTAAGCCAGATCAGAGACAAGTGAGAAGGTATCAACAAATCCCTTGGAGATAAAAGTCTGCAACAGGATGTTTATCTTGCCGTAATTATTTTCCACACCTCCTTTTACAGGCAAAGGACAGTGCTCACTCAAATGAAATTCCAGTTCTGATATTTCATCTTCACGAACCTGTAATAACCAACATAATACATAAATATTAATTATTAATAAATACGTAAATTATAGAATGAGTAAAGATAAAGCATTAAATGAAATGCAAAGCACTTCGAGTGTCACGTTTATTTGGGCGAGTTCGCCGGAAAAAGTGGGGTTTTCATGTAACCAATAATCAGAATTTCTTTTTTTTTTTTTTTGCAAGTGGATACATGAAAGGGAAAACGTGCAAACTGGCGGATGAGAGAAGGGCTTCCGCTGAAATTGGTGCTTCCACCGAGAAAATATAATTCGAAATCTTAAAAATCATGGAAAACCCTTCGATGGCAAAAACAAATATAAACTATACCAACAGGGTACGAGTAAAAATTCATTTAAAAAATTTAAAATGCAGGGGGCTTGCGGATAAAAAAGAAACAGTACGACCAAATTGTAAGTGCCATAAGGGGTTCCATTTTTAAAGCTTATCTCAAATCCAATTCATTATCTAACAGCGTTCATCATCAAAATTTAAGGGTAGAAACTCACCTTGACTTGTTCGAATTCTTGTGAGTGAGACATCATAGAGAGCACCTCGGGTTCGGGCATGTGCGCCTTGAACATCTCATTGAATACCTGGGGAGAAAGGGAACCAAATTATGAAAGGGCACTGTCACTCTGAACTCGTTTGGATGTAGATTGTACCTGGTTAACAATCACTCCTATTGAAATCAAGGTCCTTGAAAAGTAAATATTTAGTTGGTTATAGGAATTTTCCACCATGTTTTACTCAGAGACCGAGAGCTTCACTTGATTGAGACGAGTGCATTGATAATAATATGGCCTGAAAAAACGTCAGAAAAGGAAAACGTAGGTCAAGGGCATAGGGCTATGCCATAGCCATAGCATGTAACGTCATTAGGAAAATGCCTTCTGGCCAGTCTGTCTGTCCGTCTGTCATCTAATAAGACAGAGAGTCAAACCAGCTATCTGTCAGCACGTCTGTCATCTACAAAGACAAACAGGCAGTCAAAAGTCAGTCAGTCTGTTAGCCAGTTTTCTTTCGGTATTAACCCGACAGCGTTTCGGTCAGTCAGTAAAATTTTCTGGGTTTCTATGTGTGTTAGTTCGCACTGATTTTCTCCCATTCATTTGTTTACATGTTTCCTCGTTGTGAGTCTTCGTCCGTTAGAATCATCTCACCTCTATTGTGTCGTACTTGATGTAGAAATGACTAGCAGTTCTTCCGAGGTCCGTGGAGTTCAGATATCCTGTTCGCGGGTCAAATCTTATCATCTTTGCTTTGTCTAAATGACGCGCTGCATTCACAATCAGCTCTCTGCGATGTTCGAGGAGGAGTGGGTCATCCTGAGTTGCACGCAAGAACAAAAAGAACTGTTCAGTTTTACACTCACAAGTTTTCTCTGAACCCTTTGACCCTTGAGAATGACCAGCATCTAAATTCTCCTCACAGCATCACCCTTGAGTCAAATGTTAAGGTCTCGAGAATAAAGAAAACGATCAGAAAATTAACTGAAGAAGCCCTTGATTGTTAGACAAATTCTCCTTGTCAGCACCTTAGGAAATGTATAGAGAACAGTATAGAGAATCGTATTTGTGCACGATCCTCGCAGTAAAGAGCACTATTTAAGCAAATCAGACCTGAAAAAAATTCAGGCCTATACGGGATTCGAACCACTGACCTCTGCGATACTAGTGCAGCGCTCTACCGATTGAGCTAACAAGCCAACTGGGAGCAGGTCAACAAATGAGTCCGACATAAACCCGTAAGATGATAAATCAAACACAACGAATATATGAAATTTCATACATCTGGTTCTAATTCCGTACAGGCCTGAGTTTTTTTCAGGTCTGATTTTCACTATTGCTTAAATAGTGCTCTTTACTGCGAGGATCATGCACAAATACGTTTCTATAACCGCAGTATATGAATTTCATATATTCGTTGAGTATAGAGAATATGCACATGTTAGGGTGTAAAAAGGTTAATCAGTTTCTCCGGGCCAAGATTTACATAGTCTTCTTTATCAAAAGAAATACAACAGAAAAATTTTCTAGAACAGGTACATCCAAGTCTACATAGAGCTTAGCCCTTTAATCGATGAGAGTGTGACTAGCTTCTAAATGTCTTCTTACAGTATGAGACAGTAAGGTCACGAAAACAATGGAAATGATCAACAACTACAGAAGCTCTTTGGTAGCACCTTAGGAAATGTAAAGAGAGTAGTGGAAGTACAGACAAACCTCTTTTGTTCCATACGCGATGCCATAAACCAGTGGATTGACGCGCATTCGAATGTATAGGTACGTGTAGCTCAGCCATTCAACAGCTTCATCCACAGTGCCCACTGTGCCAAGAGCAATCTGCCAGGCATGAATATTATTTGCAATTCAAAAAAGAGGTGGCTAACGGAATGAGTTCAGGCTACCTCTCTTAAAGGAGAACCATCGTCGCCTTCAGCAAATATGAAGATAACTACTTCCTACTGTCGGAAACATCAATGGTTTTGTGCACAAGCATAAATCATCTCATCCCAGTTCCTATTAACTCTTTAACTGCTATCAGTGACGAAGAAAGACTTTCTCCTTACAACATAACTTTTAATTTCAAGAGAACAAGTGGCGGCGAGAACAAAGAGAAATGTATATTGGGGGATTGTTAGTTGATCCAATTCCAAATTCTCCAAACTAACATCTTCAGAATTGTATGGTAGACGATTAGGAGAATTTTTAATGAGATCTTTTGAGTATAAGGTAAAGAAAGAACTTTTCCTAGTGATACACACTACGATGTTTTACCTTGCTTGACGTTGACCAAGTACCCGCCCTACACACCAAGTAACGGCTTCGCAAAGGTAAGATACCTGCGCTGATTAGTTTTCTTCTGCGCTTTGCACTGTTTTTTCCAACCTTGACATTAGTAATATGTTTTCTCGCGCTTCGAACTTGGTTGTCTGCATTGTTTTTCCCGCCTTTTCATTTCTAACATGTTTCCTGCGCTTCGAACTTGGTTGTCTGCATTGTTTTTCCCGCCTTTTAATTTCTAACATGTTTCCCGCGCTTCGAACTTGGTTGTCTGCATTATTTTTCCCGCCTTTTCATTTCTAACATGTTTCCTGCGCTTCCAACTGATAATCTTTCCTTCAACGCTTAGCACTGTTTTCCCCACCCCCCACCCCTAGTCCCTAGTTTTGTTTTAAAACATGTTCCTATAACTGATGAAGTGTCAGTTATAGGAACATGAAGTGTCAGTATCTTACCTCAGCATTTAAACTATCAGTCAGGCTCGAAATGAATTGACTCTCAATCGGTGACTGTCTTGTTAGAAGTGAAAGATAATGACTGAGTTTGTCATGTGCTGTGATGATGATTCCCTCGCCTTGATTATCAAATTGTGGACGGCCCGCCCGCCCAAAGATCTGCAGCACGTCTAGTATGCCGATATCAACAAACGAGCCTTTCTTTGCGTCATATACTTGCGTGCCCTGTGGAGGATGAATACAAAAGAATATCGATTACGAACCGTTTCCCATAAGAGCCAGTCTGATGAAAATGTTATTTTGGTTTTATCAACTGAGTTGATGATGTAACTTGACCACCGTAGAGAGTTTCAAAGCTGACGTTCCAAGCGTAGGCCCTTCATCAGAGCCCTTCACTTTACGGAAGGGCTGACGCTCGAAACGTCAGCTTTGAAACTCTTTACGGTGGTTAATTTCCATTATCAACTCGATTGATAAAATCAGAGCTACCTTGTTACTCTCACCGACGCATCACCACAGTTTCTTTAGAAACTTACCCCGTTAACTGAAAATTTTACTTTCAACCCCGCACAGCCCAAGAGCGTGTCAGAAGAGTTCTTCTCCCATACCGATCAATTAGTCACCTGCCTTTACTCTCCCTTACGTGCATTACTTATTGCACGCATTCACGTGCAGTTACGCGTTACAATGCGAGTGTTTTGCACGTGTAATGAATGGGAACTGTGCGTGCGTCACACGTGTGTAATGCTGCAATACACGTGGGCGGAAATCTAGGTGACGTTAGTCTTAGCACAAGTTCTAACCTTAATAATTACAGCATGAGCAGGCAGGTTAACTCCCCAGGCTAACGTAGCCGTACAAACCAGAACACGAATCAAACCACGAGCAAACAATTGTTCCACCATGGTGCGGTCCTGTCTCAACATTCCAGCATGATGGATACTAAACCCATCTGGAAACAACTCTCGTAGCTGCTTGTTACGCGATTTCATCACCTGCGAATTGATCCAAGAGTATTTCAATGCGTCAGAACTTCCAAATTGACAAAAGTGGTTAGCGAACTGAATTTTTCTTTCATACTGTATTATTACTGAACGCGCCCTGGATAAGTGCATACAGCTGATCGGATGTGCTCCATCCAGCTTCACCCAGTTGAGAACGAACCTGTTTTTCAGCTTGTCCGTACTCAGGCCCTTGTGGAGCATGGAACAAAGCAGAATCTCCCTGATTGGCTGCCATCTCTCGTAACGTCAGCGCTGTCTTGACGGTAGCGTTCCGGGCATGCACGAAAACCATAACCTGTTAACAAGGATGGTGAGATGAGGACTTCAACAACATGATTACATGGCAGCAAGTAATTACAAAAATAAGATGATAGAAAAAACAATCACGCCATCTTAGATTTTGGAATTCAAGGAAAACTCGTAATTGCAGATGTCTATGACTGGCTGAAATGATCACAGTCAAACTAAGAAAGTTGGAAGCGTTTATGTTTCCCGATGAAAATCAGATCGTTGCGATTGACAGTGATCCTGAGAGGATCCTAACATGTAATGAAGACCCTCATCGCCCTATCAAAAATAAAAAAATTGTAAAGTGTGGGGATTCTGGCCAAAATCATTATCCCTGCCCAGGAAAAAATCACTTTAGATCTCACCTGGTGTCCTTTGTCAACATTTTCCAGCACTTTATCATAACAAACTGTATCCATGTCGTGTTGCCGTTTGACGTAACCCGCGGCCTTAATCCCAATGAAAGTTTGCCCGAGCGGAACTGGACGAAAACGCCCGTCAAAGAAAAACAGACCCTCGAAAGGGTTGACCCGCAAGAAGTGGGCCACATCAATGTAATTAGGAAGTGTTGCTGATAAGCCGACGATTCGGATCATGCTCTGTGACGACTCAACCTAAGTTGAAACAAACAGTAGAAGTGAATGAAACAAGTCGTGTGTTGGCTGAGAAGTGCGAGGGAGAATTTAAGCCGCGCGCGGGAGAAGTGATAACTCACGTGGCTGACTCTTCCCTCGCGTTTTTCTTCGCCCACGTGAGTAGCCCCACGCTTTGCTTTTCTAAGGAATTTCTATGGTTTACCTTGTCGTCTTTTCGACCGTTACAGAGTATAATCTCCATATATTCTAACAAATAAACATTCTGTACCATTTTAGCATGTTCAAGCTTCAAACGGTTGCCGCCAAATTCTGATGTATTAGCGCTTACTTTTTCAGGTGATAACTGAATTCCTAAAACGTGTTTACCTCTTTTCAACAGATTACAAAAGTTCCTCTTAGGGTTGTTCATAAAACGACACAATTTGGTAACAAAGCAAAGTATTTAAAAACTCACTTGACGAAGAGTTCTGGCCACTAAGCATTCAATAACTGAACCTCTGTCATCGTGCAGAAGATGAACTTCATCGATGATCAGCAACTTCACCTGCTGAGCAAGAGCCACGTCCCCAGTGCTCTTGCGAGTGACCACGTCCCACTTTTCTGGCGTGGTGACCAGCATCTGTACAAAGCGGGAAAATCACGCGAAACCACTCAGACTTGACTCCCTCTGCCCAAGGCAATGGAGCAACAATTTTTTGTGCAGTAAATAATCTAAGCGCTGAGGCATAACTGGATCGTATAGTGCAATCACCTGGGTGACCGTAGTCCTAAACCGTCTGCGCTCGAGCCTAGTGGCCCATCCAGCCGGCGCGCGTCCCAGATTCTGTTGCATAAAGCTACTAAATTCATTACCAATCCCCCAGGATGGGATGTCAGTCCATCGCGAGGTTACCCCCGCCCCAGCATTTTGTCAGGCTTCCCTGATAATTCGCCGGAACCCGCTTTAATACTCCTGGGCTGGGAGAGACATGGTGAGAGTAAAGTGTCTTGCCCAAGAACACAACACAATGTCCCCAGCCAGGGCTCGAACCAAGGCCTCTTGACCCGGATTTCAGCGCGCCAACCGCCAGGACACTGCGTTACCCTGGACAAAAGGTTGACAGCGGTTATCGACAGTGATTGATGTTTCCCCATGAAAAGCAATGGATTCCTGACCTGGACGAATCACACGAGAAAACTAGTTTTAACTTCATGGGCAAAGTGAAGCCATGGAACATGCTCACGTTTTGGGAAATCGATAAAAAATGGGCAAGACGCGCATGGTCAAAAGGAGCTCAAGAATTATGGATGTCTTCCAAACAAGTCAATCCTTTATGTTAGAAATGAAGTAGTAAAACGTTTGCTGTGGCTGAACATACTTGCGTCTTGAGGATTTCCGATTTTGTGAGTTGCATATCTCCAGTAAGTTCACGGACCGTGATTCCCAAGGAAGCCAGCCGCTTGCCAAAGTTTTGAACCATTTCAGCCGCTAGAGCCTTCATTGGAGCCACGTAAATGATCTAAAGAAAATGAAATGCAAACAGTGTTTTACACATTTAAGGGTAATTAGTTTCTCAGATTTGTGCCCGAAGCAAGCAAGTGAAATATTTGTTGATGCACTTAACTTGGAGAGGATATCTCAACTGCTTAAACGAGTATTGTAAAGGCTCTCGGGCATTCCGATGCAGGGCTCAAACTAAAAGGCGGTGGCTTTTCAAAATTCCTTACAGCTCTTACCTCATTTGCTGCAATCCGCAGTAGCATTCGCCTGACAAAACCATCTTCGTTCTTTTTCCTTTTTATTTTTTTACCCCCTGTTTGTGTTGTTTAAGTATGTTGCGATAATTTCTTTACATGGAACTGAACAAAAAATCTCCTCTTTCATAATACCGATTTGTATAAGTTTGAATACAGAATAAGTACTACGTTATCATCCTCGTCGCTGATGTTATCATTTTAATTCAAATAAATACAATCTCACCTTGAACTTGTCTTTTTTGATGACTCCTGCCACGATGTTCTGTTTAATTTCTCTCAAGATTGTCAACATAGCAATGTTTGTTTTTCCTGCGCCTGTTGGAGCACTGATCAACAAGTTCTCATTCGTGTTGTATGCTGCATCAAATACAATCGACTGGATCCTGTTCAGGCGCTTTACTCCTTGGAATCCCATTTGGCCAATCTACGATAGACAATCCAGCAAATAAATGAGGTTTTTAAACCTTAAGCTAGACTAGGGCCCTTACACGCATAATTTTCAAATGAACATCGATAGTAATTCGGGCTTGCTTTCGTCTGCTTGACTTCGCTCTGTGATTGGTCTAGAAAACTCAAGCCACTTTCTCAACCAATCAGATTAAAAACTAAAACCAATCGCGACCAAGTAACTGGCGTTTTCCCGCGCTTTAGACAGTGTGCTTGTTTTTCCTTCAAGTTCTGATTGGCTCCTAGTGAAAGAGCAATTTTTAATTGGGTGCCGCTAGTAATCCGGGATTGCTTTAGTTTTCCTTTACTTCGCTTTGTGATTGGCCCAGAAAACTCGCGCCGATCTCTCAACTAATCAAATGACAAACTAAAACCTGAGTGTTGACACTTGGTCATCCGCTCTTCCTGGGCTTTTTGTAATTCGCTCGTTTCTGCGCTTTTGGAAATTCGCTTGTTTTTTCTTAATGTGGCTAGTGATGATCTTAACCTTACTTGCGATTGGCCATTGTGATAACTATGAGTTTGGTATTTCGACACTCAGTCGAACACTGCTCTATTTTTCTTTGGTCTAACTGGATGTTGAGATTGCTTTGGTCTTGGTTTCACGAAACTCAGACCAAATGCACTTTACTTTACCTTTATCAAAACATTTTTCCACTAGCTGTTGGCTAAGGCGAAGTATTTGTGATATGGTCATTCAAACACTTAAACATTTCTCAATATCTAACACTCACCTCATCTAAAGATGAAATTGAAATAGGAGTTTCTTCTTTTGGCGGTAAAGGAGTGTTTGGAGGTATTACAACTTCCTCGCAGATTTTTGTGTTTTTCCGTTTTGCATCAGCAGGCAGGGTAATCTACAATGAATCAAAAAACCTACATGTAAGTACAGGCACCGTACAATCATGGTGTACCCGAATAAGTTCTTCCACAGAAAAAAAAAAATTCAAATACACTGATTTACACTTCATATGGTAGATAAGACGGTGGGACCTTTGATGGGAGATGGCGTGCATCACTTAACCTCTACATGATCACCATGAAACTCCTCCTTATAATACATAATCCGGCAAACAGGTTATAAGAATTGACAAACTTATCAGTTACAAGGCATCGTCTTGATACAAATCCAAACTCTCTCAACCAATTAAAAAGGAACTGAAGAGGAGCAGGAACGACAATTACTATCTACGCCTTAGAAGCTACAGGTTCAGGCCTCATCTAAAAGAATTACACCATTAAGCATGTACCAATGACTGTTAGGAAAGAACGTGTGGTACCTTGGTGTCTGAAATGAAAGCTGTAGATCGCTGTCTTTCAGCCAAAGCATCAAACACATATGGATAGACTTGGCTGGACTGCACGTTCCTCTTTGGTTTTGACAACAACGGTACACTGATGGCTGCCTGAAGAGCTAACTCTCTAACAACAACAATATTAGATAACCTCAGTCAAAAAAAATTGCTTGCTTCCTCGACCTTGAAAAAATGGCTATACTGCTAAAAAGCAAGCTGGTAGCTGTATTGAGAGGCTTTCAACTACTGTAAATTACATGTACTATAATAATTTGTTATTTGTCTAAAAAAAAAAAAAATGTCATACTTGACTAAATAAGATAGGCTCTTGAATCAGCATTTGCCTCATAATATTCATATTCACTCCCAAGATCAATACATAAATTTTCCATACTGTTAACCATACATTTCTCAAGGTTTTAAGAAATATCTCCCACTTGATTTTCATTTCTCCATCTTCTCGTCACCTCTCTGATTAAAATTGTATGAAGATGGTAAGAAGAAGTTCCTTCTTGGTCATTCTCCCGAGAGTGAAAGGGATAGAGCTTCAAAGAGCTGAACTAATAACAGTAAAGGTACAAGTACCTCTGAGCCCTCATCAACTCTGGATCAAAGCCTACTTCTTTGAGATATGTCTCATGATCAATATCCTGCTCTTCTGCATTTTTGTCTCTGCGAGCTTGACGGCGTTCTTCCTTCCTCTCTTCCTTTCTCACCTGACGCATCAATTGTTTCTCTTGCTGTGACTATGAACAAAAATTTATACAAAGTAATTAAAGAAGATGTAAAAAAATCACACAAAAACACTGAAGTAAAATGATTTTTATTGACTTGACAGGCTAGAGGCTGAGTAGAGTGGCTAGAAGCAAGTCAATAGGCAGCCCACCTACAGTAGATAACTTTAGATTTCGAGTTATTGCTCTCAATTTTAACAATATTATCATTTGAGTAAAGGGTCAAGTCTTAGGTGTAAGGTTAAGTCCACAGCTCCTTCCTTTACTGTTTCCTTTCCTATTTGATATCTGCTAACTTCTGTTTCACCTAACAGGAAGATATTTTAAAAGGTGTAGCTGAGCTATTCAGAGACTTCTGCGGCGTCCGCTAGCCTCCAGATAGAATACTACTCCCATGGCTGGCAAATACCTTCAACCAAAGCATGTTCTCCCTTTCTAGAATCAATCTACTCTGCTTTGATCAGTAAAGGAAAGAAGAGGATGGGGTGCAAAAGGCTGTGTTCTAAGGAAAATTGAATGGAGCCCAGTGCTTTGAAACTGTGAAATCCAGGGTGCCCAGCATGTGCTTTAAATGAAAAAACTAAAATTACTGAGTCCCCCAAGAGCAAAAGTAAGGTGCCAGGAGCCACCGGGCACTGCTAGACCACAGCCTTGGTGCAATTAGGCGTCTCTGAAAACAACTGCCACAATATTACCATGAACTGCTGAAAAACAGCTGCTGACAAAATGCTCATGACCTTAAAGCTTCAGCTGTACTGAACATTTCCCATGCACTTGCACAAAAAGATTGACTGCTGAACTGAAATGTCAGCTAAACACAGGGTAGATACCAGTAACTTTGTTAAAATAATTATTATCTAACTAAATACATTCTACCCACCTGTACAGTAACCTGACATCCATAGGTTGGCTTACTCTGACCAGCTGTGGTTTTCACTCTAGCAGTCTCTAAAACATGATAAACAGAACGAAAACATATAATTATGTAAGCTTCTGTGGAGAAGTCTGAAACTCGAATCATATAAGCAACACCATTTTCTGATTTTGCAAAAATCATCATTTTGGCATAAATTAAGTCTTACAAGTTGAATGACTTGTTACATTTAATTTAGAATTGATGTCAGTGTCTAAGAAACTGCAAAACTCTTGGTTAGCTCAATTGGTAGAGCGCCGGACTGTTCTGCAGGAGCTCGAGGGTTCAAGCCCCAGCCGGACCAACACTCAGGGTCTTAAAATTAGTGAGGAGAATTTGCTACCTTTCTATAATATCAAGAAATGGAGAGATATTCTAGTCTTCTTGGATAAGGATGAAAAAACTGTAGGCCCTGTCTCCTGCAGGGTTAGGGGTCGGAGACGTTAATTTCCCATGCACGAGATTACTGTGTGGTGGATGTCCTCCCCTGGAGTGGAATGGGTGGGTTTACTGGGCCTGCAGTAATTGGCACAAGCAGTTGCAGTGTCCCTGCCTGTCGGCAAATCTAATGAATTAAATTAAAACTACCCATCCCCTATCCCAACAGCAGTCAACTAATAAGAAGTATAGGTATGTGACAGAGCAGAATAACGTATGTGTACACACTAGGTTTTGGTGCGGAAACACACATTTTGATTAATTTGGATGGTTGATTTTCTATTCAGCTGCTTCAAGGTATTGTTTTCCTTGCCCCTTTTCTCTTACAGAACAACTTCCAAAAACTTTGTACACCCCCTAAATATTTTGAAAAATTATTTTCTCCTTAAAAACTATGGAAATAGGAAAATGCCTTCCACAACAACAAAATGCCTCAGTTTAAATGCCAGCTCCTTATCATTTTTGCAAATTTCGCAAAATTTTAAACCTCACATGCTT